CGTCAGCAAGGGTTAATAACAGTTCTTGACCCTTGTCGTCAGGGAACGCCTCCAGCGACCGCGTGGAAGACAAACTGAGAGAAACGTTTACAAATATGTATGGTGCGTACCCATCTCATGACGTTGCTCTCGTCACTGCGCAACCAGCAAGAGTTTTGTTAGTTGGCGTAACAATATGACTGCCGCGCAACTACAGCTCGACCCTGACAAGACTTTCGCTTCTCTATCACGCCTTCAGTGTGACGAACAACGCACCACGGTGTTTTGTGCCAGCTGCTGCAGCGTCGGATGCAATGGCGTTGATCTTTTCGTTTGCTGCCACGACGTGGCTTCTTGGACACAATGGAAAGCACCAAGGCATCGTGTGTGATGACACTCGAAGTGGAGCCTGTTGTAGCTGCCAACCACTGCTTCAACGAGGGATACGAGGACGTCAAGTACACTGTGGAAGCCTCGCTTCAAAACCAGCGCCAACAACCGCGTCCGACCTAGTCGCACTTGAGAGCCTCGACCACGACGCAAGCAAAAATGCTGCCTGGCATATCGCTCGGAACAAAACGAGGTCGTGCTTTGGTGCTCGACAAGCCCCTGGATGACTTGGCGTCTCTTGTTGTCACACCACCTTCTGTGTTAGCGCCTCGGGATCGCCTTGGGGAGCCGGGATATCACGCTTCGAGAAGGCCTAAAGTAGGACTAAAGTAGGACATGATGAACCGAGCTACGCGGTTGAAGGTCATGGAACCCAGCTCAGCGATCTTGCTGGTCAAAGATCTTATTTGAGATCTTTTACTTTACGAACGATCGGACGATTCTCGACACTTGTATTGAAGGGCGTTTGTACTGAATGGGCTGCAGATCACTCGATGCCCCTATGATAGAGTCGACGTGGCACTTGCCTCGTCTGCAACAAGCGCGACTGTACGGAGGACTAGCCGCCTCCTATATGCTGCGCGGTGCATCGCGCTAACGTGCTCTTGCTCGTCTAGAACGGAAACACAGCACAGTGTTGTGGCACCCGCCAAGGTCGTCAGGTAGTCAGGACCACGGTTTCATTCTTCATGTCTTGAATTACCTCACGCCTCTGGGCGTGGTCGTCATCAAAGGACAGACTCCTTCCATTGTAGGACTTCGCACACATTAAGGCTTCACTTGCCACCGCACCACCGCTGGCGACGTCTGTTGAGGACCTTGATAAACTTCGTAGCCTCCTTGCTCTGGATCATGTGACACGCTTGGAGGGACGTTACGGAACGTAGCGTCATTGGCCTCGCTTGGGCGACTACAGACGAGTCGCCGCCCATGCAGCCACGGACCGACGAGCGAGCGAGTGGTTAAGAAGAAAAGAAAGAATTGCTCGTCTTCACGCACACGCAACACCTTTGTACGGTGACGATACACTCATATGACTTAATCCGCAGTTGCTCAAGCGTTCGGGCCTTCGTTGTATGTCTGGTCATGACAAAGCGCTCCAAGTGCACGTGTGTATCTGGACGCTGAGGACGTCCTATCGAAAAGGGCGCGAGAAGATCACTAAGAGTTGTGTGTTGTTGAAAGACGAGCGGACGAACCAAACAGGCTAAACTATCTCGTGGCCCTTGATGCTGAAATACCGTATCTTCTTACTATTAGTACACTAGTTGGTCGAAGCTCAGGGACGAACCACTGGGGACGATCAGTGCATCCCCAAGTTTTGTTGTCTATCGGTGGCGTTCCCTGATCTCTTGTTTTCTTCTCATCACGTTTGAGGATGCTGCATACAATTAGCGAGTTTAATTACTCTCACCGGGAGGTGTATACCGGTCTGGGACTCCAAGCCTCTCCAAGCCAGATTTCAAGACTAATTTCTCAAAAAAAGCTCAAAATCACAAACTAGCCAATCACAACCCGTTTCCCATTCTTTTAAAGCCAATCATATCCACGTATTCCTCAATCGTGAGGGTTTTGCAAATATTTGAGCAAATTGCGGGTTCTGGAGAAATACACCTGTCGTCAAGCCGACGCAATCTGTTTCGATGCCGTTCCCAGGTGACGCCGGCGCAAGCAACCAATCAACATCACATCAACTGCATCTTGGGTCACAGACAGTGCAGCATCGCCCGCTCCCAAAATGGCCCGTTCTAACCCAGTGGCTCCAACCCAGTGGCCTCAACCACGGGTTCTCGGTACAAATACCTGGCAGGCCATGGCACTTCTGGACCACGACGCGGTCGCCGAGCGATCGAAGCGTGTCCTGTCTGTCTCGGAGTCAACGAACTACGGTTGGTGCAACGACGACGACGCTGTATTCGCACAAGAACTAGCTAATCTAATTTAGAATGAAATGAATCGAGAGCGCGTTCTCGACTCGCGGCTTCTCCGGCGATGTCGCCGCGTCCTTGGCCGCTTGCTTCTTGGCGTACATTTCCCGGCGGCGCGCGCGCTCCTCTGCGACGTTGGTGCTATAGCGCGCTTTCGACTTGGCGAGGACCCGGTCTTTGTGTTTGAGGTAGTAGACGCGCGACCGGCGGCGGCTCAGCTCCTTCTGCGCCAAGGTCAGGTGGCGTTCCCGCCGGCGTCGAGGCTTGGCGTCCGCCATGTCCGGTCAAACCAATAATGAGCGACTTGCCCACGTCAACGAAACCATTACGTCAGGTGCATGGGCGCGTGCCAGGCTGTAGAAAGTGCTATGTGCACCCATATCCAAGCCCACTCGTATGGCTGCACCCAGGATCTTGTCGGGCGCGTGATAAGAAGGTGGCCAGCGCAAATCATGATGATGTAGGCACACTTTCTCTCCACTTCCTAAGCGTCTCGGCGTCAGCATTGGCGTACAGTAGAGCAGGGATAGGACGCGCGGTGGCGATCGAGTCCGCGGCTCGCAACTCGCTTGACCCATAGATCGAACGCCGCCATCATCAGTCGAGTATACGAACCGCAAGTCACTTTTTCAGCGTGGGCCGACATGCAATCCGTCGCCAAATGTTGAAGTTGTACTTGGGTGAATCTTCACGTAGTAGCGTCGTGAGGAGAGACGCCTACGCAGCAGCGTCGGCAAACTCGTATCGTCGGTATCTGTGTACTGGTTGATAGCGCGGTCCTCGCTTGGTGTTAGGTATGCAGGGAGCCAAGACAGACAAGATATGCAGTGTGGTTATGGTGGTTAGACTCGTAGTTGATGCTGCTATGAGACTTGGACGCGCCTGTGGGCTCCCCGTGTACTGAGGAACAACGACCACAGACAAGCAGCAGAATATCATGATTTTGCACGTGCCGCCAATCAAGGCCGCTACACTTGGACAGCAACGACCTCGTTCGTCATCACCACGATACACTGTGCCGTTGCTCATCACCGATTGCGCTCAGGTTGTCAGCAGCGAGCAATAAGATGCGCGTCGCATCGACCCTTCGAGGAGTACCGGTAGTAGCGAGGCTCTCGTTCATCTAGCATGGGCACGCAACATACATTATATTGAATCAGAGCAGTCCGACGCCACGGCACGCAACGGACACGAGAGCTATTAGTTGAGGAGAAACTGGATCGACAGCGCGTTGTTCTTGGGCTCTCGCCCGACCTCGGCCGCACACGACGCGTCGGTGCTTGGGAGCGACTGGCGCGCCTTCTTGATGGCGTAGACGTCGCGCCGGCGCGCGCGCTCGTCGTCCCGGTTGTCATCGTAGCGCGCTTTGGCCTTGGCAATGACCTTGTCCTTGTGCTTGAGGTAGTAGAGCCGGGACCGCTGCCGGCTCTGCTCTTGCTGCTCGGGCGTGAGCGGGCTTCGGGGGCGGCGGCGGGCGACGGCGCTCGGCATGCTGTAATCGTCAAGTGAAGGATTGCCTGGTCCGAAAAAGGGCGCATAGGAGACGCAGCTGGCGCCGATTCTTGAAGTCATTTGACAGCCATGGTATCAGATCGTCGGAATTCCCTTATCGAGTCTGCGCCCACCGCCCTCTGGGCATCCAATCGGCCGTACCGCGCAATCCAATGCCAATGGAACGCGATTCCAGCATGCACACGCTAGCGCCGCAACGTATTGGATGCCTGGCGGGCGTTCGATATGCGGCATGCGGTCCGCACTCGCCTCTTGGGAGGTGTAGTGTACTCATATAAGGAAACGCCATCGGGATGCCGCCGTCAACGTTGCGTCGCCTTCTACGGCCTGCTCTGCGCCTCGAAGGTGCGCGCTCGATGCCAGAACGTGTGCACTACGCACTATAAGAATCGACTTTGCAGCGTCCTCTTCATGCAGCGCGTGGCGCGGACAGGTCCTTTTACCTTCTCACGTTTAGTATCGGTGATTACTCACGACAGTTTGGGCTTCGTTTTCTGCTGCCAGCCGTAGCACGATGCGCCTCAACCCATCATCCTCGTCGTCACACTTCAACTCCAAAGAGCAAGTAGTATCTTCACAGGAACGACGTCGTGTTGCGTGCTTCCATCAAAAATGAAAGGAGTAGAAATCTCAATGCGTCCAACTACACAGCGCTCGGCAGAGACGACGTCGGTCTGTCTATCGCTCCCAACATGGCCGGCACCCCGTGGCCTGATGTACGGTTCCCTCCCCAATTGGTCTCGACGTCCACGCGACGACGAGTCGGAGCCTCACACAATCCTCAACACACTCAATTCTTTTCACTTGGCCGGACATGATTACATCGACGCCTCGCTCGCAGTCAGTTGAGGAGAAACTGGATCGACGTTTTCACGGGCGGCGCTTCGAGCCCGTGTGTCTTTGGCTTTTTGGCGGCTTTTTTGAGCGCGTAGATTTCCCGTCGGCGCGCGCGCTCTTCGTCGCGGTTGAACTCGTAGCGCGCTTTGGACTTGGCGAGGACCCGGTCCTTGTGCTCCATGTAGTAGACGCGGGACCGCTGCCGGCAAAGCTCCTTTTGCTCGAGCGAGAGCGGCCGGCGGTGGCGGCGGCGGCGGCTCGTCGTCTCGGTCGGCGCCTCGGCCTCGGGCGTTGAGAGTAGCACCATCTTCTCGCGTCGAAGCAAATGTGATTGTGGCACCGCCGACGGACGTTCTCGCACCCGGTTGAGGCTGCGAGCCATCTGCGAGTCACCCAAGTTTCGCTTCAAGGACCAGACGCTGACAGTTATCTCCCGCCAACTTGAACGCGGCTTGTAGAGGTCGTCTTCTACTGCACTGCGAAGAGACGGACCGCCCGCTGCTGGCGAGTCTGCAAGAGGTGCCGGCGGGACGGTGTTGCGGTAATTCGCTCAAGTAGTATGCGCGCCAGCTGGCGCCGTGCCACCGACCCTGCACCCGCGACACCATGCAGACGAAAGGCTCAGGGTTACGTCAACAGATACGGATATCCACATCTCATGTACTTATCTAAGCGAATATTCAATGGCCACCCGGCGCGCCCTCACCTTGTATGGTTGAAGTCGCCACCGCCTGCTTGCGCAATGGCAAGCCGCCACGTGGTGAATGTGTTATCGCCGCCTCCGACGACGCTCGTCAGAGCTAGTTAGTACCTCGGAGAAGAACAACGACACTGTAACTAACTACCATTCAACTTGACAATTCGAGTTGTAGATACCTAATGAAAGTTCAAAACTCTACTTGGCGTGGTTGACGAACAGCGGGTACTGGCGCTTCGTGACCTCGTGGTCGACCTGGTTGAGGAGCGTCGGCGTTACTTGCTGCAGCATCGAGTACACGAACGTTGCTTGCTTAAGCGGCACGTCGATCTTCTGCGTCCGCACCACCAGATCTACATCCATCGCGACTTCAATTCCCGGTACCGAACATGCGCATGCATACCTGCACCGGTCCAGTCGTCGTCGGGCTTGTAGTAGAGCACAATGGGCGTCCCGAACGCGACGAGGATCAATTCTAACCAAGAGACGTCAGTACAGGTAGAGAGAGAGAGAGACCCTGATAATCCTACCGTCGCTCAGCACCTCCCAAACGATGCTGTACGGGTTCAACAGCGACGCGTTCCAGTGCACTTGCAGGCACATGACACGGTGCTTGGTCACGAGGATGCACTTGCGGCTCTCGATGAGCATGACGTGCCCGACATAGTCGTCGAGCCGCGCGTGCTCAATGTTGTACTTGATGTCTTCGCCCGTCGCGTGCAAGTACGAGAAGGCCGTGAGGAGGTGCGTGCGCGGGTGGATGTAGCGCGGCGGCCGGCTCCGGCTCACGTGCGCCTGGATATCGTACTGCAGCCCGTCCCTAGTCCACATCCTATAAAGACGCCGGAAGCCGAGGCAAGGGTGGCTACCGAAGCGTCGTCGTCGTCGACACGAACGCCTGCGCAAACCCGCGGCAGGGCTTGAGGCCCAGGCCGAGGAGACCTGCAATGAGGCCGGGCAGGAACCCGCGGTAGCCTTGCTGCTGGTACGCGTGGATCGGGCTCACGACGACGCCCGACACGCTCTGCGCCAGACCTTGGTACAGCGTCTTGGCCAGCGGGTAGCCCGAGTACGTGTCGATGTGCTGGCACGCTTCCGTGAGCCCAAGGCTGCAGCTCGAGGCAATGCGCGTGTTGAAGTCGAGCAGCGCGTACACGAGCGCGCGCAGAAGGAGCGTCGTGCCCCGGAGGAGGCCCCAGCCAGCGCCTTGGAGGCCAAAGGCCTCGTAGCCACGCAGCGGCTCGGCAATGAACGAGGCGAGACCGCCCTTGAGGTTGTGCCAGACCTTGACGGGATTGCCGAGCACGTCGACCGACCCGAGCAGCATGTACGCTTGGCGCAGCGCTTCGTGCTGGTAGTGGAGGCTCATCTGATGCAGCATCGTCTCGCGCGGGACGAACATGTGCTGCCAGCGGAGCGCGCGCCACACGAGCGGCGCGTTGTGCACCTTGGTGAGCGTTTTGCTCGCCGCCTGGATGATCTGCCGGACGCTCGCAATCGACGGCGCAAACGACGTGGTCGTTGGACTCGACGCAAAGCTAAGGGCGACGTGGATCGGCGAAATCTCAAACTTTTCAAAGTAGAGTTTCTTCTGGCCCAGCCCGTGCCGCTTGTCGACGCCGGCGGCTAAGAGACCGCGCGTGGCGTCCGCCAGCTCGCGGCGATGCCGCACGAGCGCGTCATCGTCCGTGGTCCGGCGCGTCGACAAGCGATGGCTCTCGCCCGACTCGGTCGTCATGAGCATTGTCAGAAGCGCGTTGACGAGTGCACCGTCGATGCGCCACCGCATCGGCGACACGTGGACGCCGACGTAGCGGAGGAACTCGATGCTCGTGTACGTCGTCTCACGGACCACCGTCACGTCGAGCGACGGCGCGTCATCGTCGACGCACTGCAGCAGCACGGGATACCGCGTCGACCGCATCTGGTTGTCCATCTGCAGCGCGCCGACGGTCGCCTGCACGGCCAGCTGCTCGTGCTTGGATGACGCGAGCGCCGTCACCGAGACGCGCTCCATGTTGACGTAGAGCAGCTCCATGGGCGACGCATCCACAAAGCTCACACCGACCGCTTGGAGGTGGACGTGGACGTCGAGCCGCGGTGCTGGCACATACTGCCGCAGCCCCGGTGGCGGCGACTCGGGCAAGAGGCGGGGCACGCCCGACGGCAGCGGGTCCGTGAGCCGCAGCACGCGCGTCGGGCCGTCGGCGAGCACTTGGACGGCGAGCACTTTGGTTGGGAACGCCGACTGGAGCTCCTCCATCGAGAAGAGGCCGATGCGAATCGGCCGCGAGTTGTCGTCGGCCTGCGACGGCAGCAAGTCGACGATGAGCAAATGCGGCTTGAGCGGCTCGTCCCACGTGTAGTCGATCGTCTGGTGCGGCAACAAGATCTCCGAGATGCGGACGCGCGACTGGTGCACGCGGATGGTTTCGAGCGAGAAATTCTCGATCCGATACGGCGGCGCGTTCGTCGACGACCGAAACACGACGCGGTACTGCGGGCCCTCGAGCTTGATCGAGACGCGCAGGAGGTACGTCAGCCGCGTCTGCGTGTTGCGCAGTCGCAGCGTCTGGTCGCCCGTCGCTTCGAGGTGCACGGCGCCGCTCCAGACGCACCCCGGGGTCCCAAACCGAATGCGCAGCGTCGGCGCATGGTGCCACGGCAGCTCGGCTTGCGGCTCGAGCGACACGTTGGCACCCGTCACTTCATCGACGAGGAGCTCGAGCGATCGGTCGTCGAGCGCGTTGACCAGCAGACACCGGGGCACGAGCGTCAGCACTTCAGTGCGCTCGTAGAGGCCGCTGCCGTGGTTGAGCACGTACCCGATCGAAAAGTGCTTTTCATTGCCGTCCGGAATCGTGCACACCGTATCTAATCGAAAATGAGTGGCCACGATCAACTCAAGAGGACGCCTGCCACCTCAAGCTACGTACCAGCAGTGCTCGAGAGGTGCGCGTTCAACACCGACGACCACGGGTCCTTCTTGCGCACGCGGCACTGCAGCTTGAGCGTCTGCTGGCTCTGGTTGGTGTGGCACGCGTGCAGCAGTGTCTGCAGTCGCTTCGGCGGCAGAGCCGTCTTAGGAATCAGATCCAAGAGCCCTTTGTTGGGTGCGATCGACGGCAGAATCTGGTGGTGGGCCTTCCGGTGGTGCAGCGGCTTGAGCGGCTGCGTCTCGGGCGGCGGCGGCGCCACAATCACGACGCTTTCGGCGGTTCGCATCGCCTCGGCTTTGTGGGCCTTGGGCTGTCCGGCCATGAACGCGGCCCGGTGCTCGGCGCCAAGCGAGAGCACGTCATGCTGGAACTCGAGGTCCAGACCCGTCTGGTTCAGCACCCAGTATGGCGTGTAGACGGTCACGTGCAGCTGGTGCTGGCGGTCGCTAATGTCGAGGTTGACGTACAGCAAGCTGCGGTGGTTGAGGTCCGCCATCGACACGACGGTCGGGCCGCCGAGGAACGCCGGCGCACTCCAGCCAAAGCCAGGAATCCGCACTTGCAGCGCGAGGTCCTGGCGGCTCGACCCGTGCCAGAGCAGCTTGTCGCCGACGGCGATCTTGCGGCTCGGGAAGGTCGTTGCCATGACGGACGACGCGCCCGTCGTGAGCTTGACCTCCATCTCGACGGCCAGTGCGTTCTGCACGACCAGCGGCGGGCAGAAGCGCATGACGCGGCCAAACGGCGACGGCGCGAGACGACGTCGATGACAAA